TTTTTTTTTTTTGGGGGGCCCCAATTTCGGTGGGCGACGGAAGGGTGACGTATGTTGAAGCGGGGCGCGCAACAGGTAATTTAATATTTGCTTCCCGTTCCCTGTACCGCCAAGGTATTTAGAGTACCTAGATTTGTATTTATTGGGGTGTCTGTCGGATCAATATTGCATCGCAGCCCGGGCAGTTGCTATGGGGATGTCCTCCCCCTGCAACCCCCACTCAGACCTGTGCCTAGGATTTGAGCTCGCGGGCCCAGTGCAGCGGATGCCATTCGTCATTCATCGGAGAGCTATTACTTTATCAACACGCGCGCCGCATATCGGTGGAACATTAATTATTTTATGGTTTTCAATTTTAGTTATCATTGTTAAAGTGATTCAGTACAATGTTTTGATACTAGTGTTTGTATTAGCAATTAAATTAGGGTGAATTAAATTAGAAGAGCTGCTGTGAACCCGGAGATGTAGGTAAGTGTTTTTTTTTTCAGAATGTCGTCTGAAGTAATTAGATCAAAGTTAAAAAAATATTTCTGCTTTATTTTAATTTCGGTAATTTTGCAGCTTATTTCAGACGAAATTCTTTTCTATTTATTTGATTTACTTATAATATTTTCAGCAGGCAAGAAGTATGCTGACGGAGGAGTTCTTTGTTTAAATTTTTTAGAAGTTGCCGATAACAATATATGTGAGCTTTTTTTCTCTCGTAACATAGGTTGGTCAGAAGGTTTCAAGGTTGGATTGGGAACTTTGCGCACGCGACCGAGTCTATTCTAATCCGTCTTTATCTTAACGTAGAAATTCTTTACGGTGGGGAAATAATAAGTTGTTTAAAAACAGGGTATTCATATCGACGGTTAACGGCCAAAAAGGGATAACCGCCATTCTACAAACTTTACAGGAGAGAGGTTTAAAGTTTAAAAAAATTCATAGAAAAAAAAAATTTTGTCCACAGGCTTAAATTTATAACTAAATAGCTTTTGAAAGGTTCTCCATAAACTGGCATAATTAATTTTGTTGAATTCCATCTCGAAGTATCATTTACGGTCGCTTACCCTGAAATGACCCAGATTTTACAAACAGCAAAAACGTTCCAAGTGAATATAACATGGGATTCACTTCCAGCCTAAACGATGCAAATGCATTTCAGTATTTTTTAAAAACAAGAAAAAAGGGCATATTGTAATATTTCTTGTTTATCAGGCGTGGCCAATATAGCTTGAGTGGTTATTGGTTAGTAACAGATAGAGAAGAAAATTGTAATAAGTGATGAAATCTCATAATAATTGTTCAGCAGTTAAAGATTACTGATGATTTTTGCACTATTACTGAGGATTATAATAAAAACCAGGTGCTTTGAGACAAATAAACTTGTAATATTAATAAGTAATAATAAGTATTAAAAATTATAAAACTAATACAATCATAAAAAAAGTTTTTAACAATCCTTGTACAATATTTTTGTTCTAAGCTACAAATAGTAACTGCTTAGGCTTATGAATCAGTCTGGGCAACTTAATGAAGTACACTTAATTATTATTAATAATAATAATAGTATTTATTTATTTATGTAATAATTCAATCATACATTAATTGAGATCAAAAAGTATTAAAATAATCAAGACTACCCACGATAAGGTCTTGCCTAATGTGGGGACTACTGAAACACACTTGTGTTTCAGTGGTCCCCACATTAGGCAAGCCTGTATCGTCCCTGACATTGGCAGGTATTTACTTTAATAGATAACTTAGCTAAAACGTAGGTACTAAAAACTATAAATGCAAAACATTTACTCAGAACAAAAAAATACAAAATTATTTACGACATAACTTTTACTCAAAAAATACAAAAAAAAAAATTTAAGACATTAGACATAACTTATTATAAATAATATAAAAACCAAGTACCTATTTAATTAATATCATCATCTTCGACATCTGATTCAGGGAGTGTATCTCGAATGGTACTAGCACTTTTAAGGCTCTTATACTCCCCTTGAAATATTTGTGGGATTACATTATCGGTACAGAGTTTCAGTAAGTCATCAAGTTTTATTTTCGAAATGGGTAACTGAGATCTCTTATTTAGGGTATTACATACCTCTGGTTTGCCTGACGTTTCGACCAGGTTGCACCGGCCGTGGTCACAGGCTGACAGAAGAGATCGCGTTAATTCCCGTTAAATAATATTAATTATCATAATTATCATTATAACAAGCTGGGACATTACCTATGGACTTTGATTGTACTACGATTTGATGTGACTCAGCGTTTTCGTTCATGGAAGTTTTGTAATTAATTAAACAGTCGTTCTTTTTAAATTTTACTATGCGCATTTTGCTGATTATGCCAGTGAGATTTCCCTTGAAATATTTTTCACTGATTGAATCCCATTTGTAAAAATCATTGAATTGCAGTGAGTCGACAATGTAAGGTTCTGGATTTTGTCTCGCTGTAGTAAAGACTGTAAATCACTGAGAAGGTGCGTGAATGGTAGTTTTTTTTAAATTTTTCTCAATAACGGCATGGACGGAGTCTACTGGCATGTAAGTATGTTAGCAAGAAGTTTATTTCGATTCGTTTGCAAAGTTGCGTGTAACATTGCCATGATTATCCGGTTTCTATTTTGACCGGGACAACAATCACAGTATAGTAATAAATTCTTTACTGTACCACGTTTATCTACAATTTTAATGTACTTATTGAGTATTGTTGCAATTTCGTTGGCACCTCGTTTACCGTTACTTTCGTCCCAATAAAAACAAAATACTTTTTGCGTGCCATTTTCATAAATACATAGATTATATACAGCTAGTTTACGACTATAAAATAATAACATGCTCTCTTCGTACGGAGTATTTAAAACTTTTTGTAGATCGAAACTATCACATAGGGTGGCAGGATCGTTTTTATTTATATTCTGATGTGCTTTAAATCTCTTATAACTATCTTCTTTTTCTCTTTCGTGTTCTTTAATTTATTTTTGCATACTTGCATTGTCTTTATTTTGTTCGTATTTAAGGCACTTTAGGCATTTATCCTTCTTAGGAACGTGAAACCCGATATTAAATTTTTCATTAAATATAGTCCGAAAAATACGTTCACTTACAATATCAATTCCTCTCTCTATATAACTATTTTTATACATTTCATACAAATATGATATATTTTTTATGCAGCTAGGCAAGTAAACACGGGTAGAGTCCTTACGGCAATAGTGTGAGGGAACAGCTGGGAGACCCTTGATGTAATTATGCACTAACACTATTGTACTTTCTTTAGTTTTGTTATGTGGTTCGCGTTTACCACTATCCTTATCCTCCTATTATCCTCTTTTGCTAACCCAATTTCAGAGTTTTGTACAGTATATTGAATAAATTTCAGACCAACATCCAAAGTGGCTGCTAAAAACTGAAGACACACGAATCGCTTCCCCTCACCTTCTGTTATTGCATACTTGTAGAATTACTTCTCTTCCGTTGTATAACTGACCTCTGAGTCATTGATACCAACCAGTCTTTGCGCCGTACGGTTGACAGGCTCCAAAAATATTCAAAAATACATTTTCGTCGCTCATCTGTGACCATTTCACAACCATTGCCACACTTCTTGCCTGTACCAGGGTTAGGTTTAATTTCTTTAGCAGGGACTTCAATGCCATTTCTTTTCACGTATGCTTGACCAGATTGCCTTAGAGTTCTTTGTACTTTCTTTTGATTTATACGTCGTTTTTTTACTGCATTATCTCCTACCTTATTGATTTCATGTTCTAGCTCTACGTTGTTTTTGTTAGATTTTTTCCGCTTTTTCTTATTAGTCATACCTGAGCCTACTTCAGAATCATCTGATTCTGAAGTAGGTTCATAAACATCTGAATCTGCTTCTCCTTCTCCGAAAATGGTTGTGGGTTACTATCTATATTAGAAACAGGCACTAAGGTAACGCTAAAGCTGGTAGAAGGCAAAGGTTCTATATTGATGTTATTTGTTGAAGACAAAGGTTCTGTCTCGATACAACTAGTTGAAGGCTAAAGTTTCATATTGATGTAGACGGTTGAAGAAAAAGTTTCAGTCTCGACAGAACCAGTTGAAGGCAAAGGTACTGGAACGATATAACTGGTAGATGGCATAGGTTCTGTCTCCATATAATTGGTAGAAAGCGAAGGTTCTATCTCGATATAACTAGTTGAAGGTAACGACAATTTTGATGTAGATTTTATAGATAGTGGTACATTTATAATTTCATCGCTAATTATTTTTATTTTCTCGGTAAATTGTTTTTCAGGCTTTGGTGAAACAGCTACGTTTACAGAGATAATATTGCTGATGTCATCATTTTTATCTCCAAGTAAATAATTTTTTGATTGATTTAAATCATCTAAGTTAGATGATGAAGTAGGTTCAGAGTTTTCATTAACATCAAAATCTTTGACATCATTTGAGACTTTAGAAAATTAATTCTGTTTGTACCTATTTATGTCCTCGTCTGGTTGAACATCAAAATAGATTTTTCTTCGAATTTTCTGAAGCTTTATTTGTTGTGAATTGCGTAATGCCTGCCCGATAATATCACATGCTCGTTGTTTCTGAGCCATATCTTCTCCTAAAATATAAAAAAACAATTATTAGCATTAGTATAAGCAAGCATTAAAAAGAGTTTTAGGTAAGTAACTAGAACAAATAATGTTATCGGTACCGACCTGAAACATTGTTTTTCTGGATAGGTTAGTAGGTAGGTAGGTATGTCGGTCGAGAGGCAGGTCGATAGGTAGGTAGGTAGGCAAGCAGACAGGCAGGTAGATAGATAGATAGATAGGTAGGTGGGTTGAAAGGCAGGTAGGTAATTAGGTAGCTAGATAGGTACCTAGTAGCCAGGTAGGTAATATAGCTATCGAGATAAATTATTATTATGCACTTATAACTAATGTTCCTTCACCTCAAACAGTAGGCAGTCCTCAAACACAGAGTTAAGCTATTAATGGTATAGAAAATTAATTTCCTTGACCGCCATAGTCAAGCAATAAGTCACTGGTAACAATAGCAACTATACGAGTAAACCATACAACCATTAGCCCACATTATTCATAATATGCCAGATGAAAACGACAAAAATGAAAGCGCTTGAATATAAACACCTGTGGATGCACTACAGGATGAAATAACAATTTCAACACCCTTCGGGGCACAGTCGGCGAACAACCGACTTGCGAAACGTGAGGTTATGGATTCGATACCCACCTTGAACAAATGTCGGTGTGATAAACACGATTATTTGTTCTGTGTGATGATTTTTTTTCTATCAATTATGTATGTACCTACCTATTAACAAAAAAACTAGTAACGACTTAATAGTTATTATTAGAAATATTGTATTTTTAATTAATATAGATAAGTACAATTTATTATTATTTATCTAGTTTGTATAGTACAAGTTCCTGCTTTGTTTGAGATTAGGTACTTAACTTCTTTGAAAATAACACAATATTTCTAATAATAACTACCCATAACACGTATTTTTTTTTACATCGCATTCACAAGTTCAGTAAGTATTTCATTTTCTGGGTAATATAATTTTAAAGCATTCATAATTAAAAAAGAAATAAACTTACCGTTTACGAAACTGCTCGCTAAAAACACTCGCACGCACGCGTGGCGGTTGGGCAACGTATCACAGAACACTGAATGATCGCACGGCCTGGCAACGTGTTTAGTGGGGATAACTATTATAGTGTAACCGAGAGCTTTGTGTTTGCGCGCACAAGATAAGTGCCAAATATTCGAAAACCTATTGGCGTAAGTGGCTATTAAAATTTTATTATATTTATCTAACCGACAGACATGGGTATTTTTTTGGGAGGGAAAATTAAGATAAGCGCCATTCAGAATGTTTGTAATGATTTAGTAAAATAGTACTAACCGCCACAACAATAATGGAAAATATGTGTTTTTTTGGATTAATGAACTTTTTTGCAATAAATATTTCTAGCTAAATTCGGTCAACGAACAAATATCAATATTTTAATGAAAGCCTAAAGAGCATAATGGTCAATTGCGAAAATATAATATATGACCAACTACCATTGTAAAAAAAAACATCAATAAACCTGTCGTTTAGGACTTTAAATTTAATGAAATTTTTCAATTTTTCAATTGCCTAAGCTCCAAAAAGTTTGTCCCAGGACCATGAAACTGATACCAATCAACGCAGAAAAATCTGCTGATTCCAAATATGTATAAAACTCATTTCAGCTAAAAGTGTCGCTTATCCCTTTTTGGCCGTTAACCGTCGATATTTACGTGTTTTCCAGGCAAGGGCACAAAAGAAAATTTTCTTTGTTTTTGTGTATCAATCGCCTCCAGATGCCATCTTTTTTTGTGTAATGCGTTTACAGGTAATCTTTTTGAGCATAGGAGGTGTGTTATATTATTTGTTTAGCTACGAAATAAAATGCCGCGAGTTAAATATAATACAATTTCGTATTCACCACGATTAAAACACTATGTATAGGTATCGATCAATATAAATGTAGGTACTTGCGCCAGACAAAGGGTAGAGATATGTGGGAAGGGAGGAACGTGTAAGGGTGGGGTAAAGTAAGCTTCGGCGGCCATTTTACATTTTAGCAGGTATCCAAACTGCGCCGGTCTGCCCGAAGCGACTGCGCACAAACATGGACTCTTTTTTTTTTATAATCGCGCTGCGGAGTTAGATGGTTTTTGTAGAACCTTTGTATTCTGTATTATTTTAAATTAATTTTCAATGATTGCGTATAAATATTAATAAATTTCAATATCGACATTCTTTTCTTTTGTAAACTACTAACTAAATTAAAAGTGTTTTCCGGAAACAAAGGCGAACGGGTGCTGCTCGTCGGACTTCTAAATTATCAACGATTATTTAGTACGTAGATATATTCAGACAAAGATTAATCGGGCATCGCACACTGGGGCAGGAGACCCTTATAACTGCCATCAAATATACTAAAGCCGTTAGACGTTCTTAAGTGGACCGAGTGTTCTCATAGACATATGTAATAACAGAAAAAAATAATTCAGGTAATTAACATCATCATTTTTATTGTTTAAAAATAACACATTAAATATTTTTTACAAAAAAAAACGGCATTTCTCAAGTATAGTTTTTTGTTTTATGTTAGAGGGGGCAGACGAGCAGTATGATACCTATTGAAGATATGTTCAAGCATCATTATCTTCATCATTATGATAGTCATCGACTGTAGTATTATCATCTGAGTTATTTAGGAATGGAGCTTTCAACATGAATGAACTTTTGACTAACTTTTGCTTACTGGTGATTACGGGATCAGAGCTCAGTAAAAAAAAGTTAAAAATATCCCTATTAGATTTTTCTCTGCTACATTTTCTCGAATTATGCTCTCTATAGCGCTTAAAGGCCTTGTTTCTTGCCTCCTGTGATTCTTCTGTTAATTGTCCGATAGTGGGCAGCGCAAAGGGATATAATTTCTGGTCCATGAATGAAATACTTATGCAGAGTAGGTGGCATCTTGTACCACGGGTATATAGAAACGAAATATCTAGCAGTATCAAGTGCAAATACCCTGTACTTTCCTGCATCTATATCAAATTCACTTGATATAATAATGAAAATAATGTGTTTTTTTTTATTAAATCTACGTCTATTTTAGTATCTATTTTAGTTATTTGTGCTGACAAGTCTGGATTTTGGAAAAAACGTCTGGCGGTGTTTCCATCGTTGCTACTGCCACACTTTTCTCTAAATTCTTTTTTAATTCGAGCTTTATTTTCTGAAACAGTTTGCTTATCCTTCTCTCCACGGACTTGCCATTTTTTTATAGGGAGTTTGTATGCTAAATGTAGTAAACATTCGAAGAATCGAATCCAACCGCGAAGGACAGAAAGACCAAATCTCAAATTATCAGTATTCCCCTTTCTTAAAACTATTTTATCTAAGTTATTGAAATATTTTGATGTTGCACCACACAAAAAGCATTTAATGGTTGAAGTAGTTTCCGTCAGGGCTTAACAAACTTCAAAATGTTTGAGGCTTGTATTTGACCTTTAGCTCGTAGACTCGTACAAGTAGCATAAACTAATTCTGAAGCTGAAGTTGATTTTCGCAACTGCTTAGTCTTGGAACGTTTAGTATTTTCTGAGGAATTTTCAAAAGAAGTAACCTTTCAGCCGCGTTTAATATTTCACCCAATGCATGGTAAAGAAAGTGATGTCTGAAGCCAATCTTTGTTATATTTATTAAAATTTTCTTTTATTCTACACGCTTTCTCCCGTCTTGACTGATATTAATATTTAAAACTACTCATTTTATTATATATACTCGGCATGACTACTCGTTCGTTTTTCCAGCTCTTTTATAAGATGCATATATTTTTGCTGGAAACTATTCCCTTTAGAACTATGCATTATATTTAAAAGTTCTTGTCCTGTAATAAATAATGTATTCGAGGACATTCCTAAAACGAAATAAATATTTTTTAATAATAATGGCAAATTGGGATAAAATTATTTTCTGTGAATCACGCACTGAAAATTGTTTTATCTCGAAAAATAGCAAAATATAGCAAAAAAAATAAATTGTTTATAAGAGATGATACTATAAAGATTATTTTTAGATAGGAAGCAAAGCTTAATACTGCTTAGAAACAAAATAAAATGTCTATTATTTCGTTATTTTCCTGATAATTTTCTACACACCCAAATTTAGCCTGGTCTGCCTAAAACTATTTATATAATAAAGAAACAAAACATTCTAAAACATAGTTACATACCTGAAGATGAAGGTTCCATAGCTTAATAATACCAAAAATAAATACTTTTAGCGCAAAACGGCTCTTAAATTGCACGTAAATCACTAATACTGGATAGGGTAGTCTGCAAGATGTAAGTACGCTTTACTGTAGTAACGAAGTGGGTTTGCTATAGGGCATTTAAATACCGCCAAATAATAACTGAGTTAGTATTCTAATTAATTTATACATGAGGGCTAACAAGTGACATCTTTTTATTTTTTTATTTCCGGCATTTATTAGGGTCGTCTGCCCCAGTGTGCATCGGTCAGTTTAAAAGCAACATCGCAATAGCACTAGGCACCTATTGCCTCATACCATGCTGTCGATCCTCGCTGCGTTTCAAGATCCATCCTTGGAAACAAAAAATCAAAAGTTATTTATTTCACTATCAAACGGTATTTTCCCTTTCAATGTTACATAGAGTGGGTATCAAAGAACGCTATTCTTAAGGTTTCTTTATCCGGCCCGTGTAATTCCTTTGAAATGTTAAAATATTTATAGGGACCGACCACGTTTAACGGGAAAATACGAGGAAAATATCATGGAAGATTTTATGAGCACGTGAACAGAATGAAATCTAATAATTGGCTACTTATTGCCATAGTAACGAATCATTATAGGGGTTCGTAGGTGATGAATCGATCTCTACCTACGCAGACATACTTATCAAATTGTTTATTTAATCAGTCGTATTCTTAAATTCATCGAGACTGGACGTCTGCATTCAGGTAAAATAACACTTCTTACTTAGTTAGATTCTTTAGTTAGTTAGTTAATTTTTAACTTAAAGTTTTCCTCAACTTAGTATACCGATCTTTAAATTTAAATATTATTTTGACTTTCATCATCAACGGTCAGTTGCTGAACATTGGCCTCTCCTTAGAAAAGAGCCTACTGTACCTGATGGGGTTGGTATTGGGTTTGTGTGTTTTCCTTTCTCTTTGCAGTGCTGATGTCCAGTGTGCTTCTTTAGTCGTCTCTCACGGCACCCGTGGCATGTATATTGGTCGTGATAATCCGTATTCTTAATCCGTCACCACAAGGATAACGTTTAAATTTAAGCCTATAACTACATACATTTTATAAACAAGCCTTTGTCTGCAGAGCTTTTAAAATTGTCTTCGTTTAATCTCAGTCGTACTTCACTCATGCGCCGGTGGAACAGAGAGCGGATTCATATTTTAGTCGTTAGTGGATAGTACCTAATTTGAATTTATATTAAAAATGTCGTGTGTAGAGGCGAAACATGTGTCAAAGTATCACTTTCTATAGGCCCAATCTTACGTTTCACGGTTTGATGGGCAACATTTTTTTGTGGTTTAAAAGGAGAAGGTGCGGTGCTTGTAATATTATGTTTCATATTGCAATGGCAAAAATAAAATTGCCATCATGCGTGACATATGAAACTTTGAAGTTATTTTACTTTCATCATGTTTTAGATTATATAAATAATTTCCGCTTCTATTAGATATCTAACAGTATTTACAACTGTTCATTTTAGTTTGAAATTTCTATCACCCTTAAAACCTTAAAACAAAAATTTAGGTAGATATTTCATGAAATTTCTAGATAATTCTATTTATAGCTAGAACAAAAAAGAGCCGTCACCCAGGGTTCACAAAATGGCGTGCGCGCCACCCACACTCGGGACCTCGATCGATCGAGCCCGTGCAAGGATCGGCAACTGCGCATCCTCCATCCAAACCACGCCCACGTCCGGTAACGCCCAACATCCGCTAACGTCGGACGTCTCCTAGTTTCTAGAGGTCTATTTATAGCTTTGCTGCCGAGCTCGACGGGTCTCTTCAAAGAAGAAGCCTTTGATTTAGAGGCTTTAGATTTCTATCGAAGCTACAATACTTTTCAACGAGACTTAACAGACTACTTTCCCGAACATTCTGGACTTTTTATCAAGACTGGGTTCGTGTTACATAATATACAATAATTCGTGGTTAGAGAAATACGTGAAGATAATAAAGACAAGTCACCTGTTTAGCTGAACTTCAAGTCGAAGTAATAAATAGTAGCATTGTGTACTCGAAGAAACCGTCACAATTTATAATAATAATAATAATAAGGTACTTGCGGTAAATAAGGGCCACCTTAATTTAAATCTCATGAAAAGGTACAAATTTAAAAATAAAACAAAAAATGAAAGCAAAAGAGAAATATTCAAAGTTTTATTTGTCAAAAACCGTATAAATATTGGTGTTAATATCACAATTTCAATCAAAAATTAGGTATTTTTAAAACCATATCTATGGCCCTTATTAAACTTAGGTAGTATAATAAAGACCACAAATGCTTTTATTACTGGTAACAGTAACTCTAATTAATACTCAGTCTTCTCATTTATTTTATCTTATATTATTATTTAGGCATTGAATCACAATTTAGCTACAACGAATTCTGGGGTAAAAACAATAATGGGCCTTATTAAACTTATGTAACAAAGAAATAACAATAAAAGAGTTTTTAGGTATAATTTCCCCAAAAATACGATGTTTTCGAATAAAGAATTCTTTATTCTTTCACAATTTTATACAGGAAATAAAAATTGAATCTACTTAAATTATAAAAAAAAAGTAATGGCCCTTATTCAACCTATGAAATATTAAATTACGTTATAAATCTTTTAATATGTAACAAATATATCAGTCATTCTTAGAAACTTACCTATCATAGAAAATGTTAAGTCTAACGCATGAAAAAATAAAAACAATAAATAACGACTATCAAATTAAATCAATCCTCAATCATTAAGGATTTTAAATAATAACATAAGAGATCAATTAGTTTGGTATTACTCCAAATAATTTAAAATATACATATAAAACCTCTAAACAAACGTACAAAAGTAAAATAAATCAACTATCGAACATTTTCTTGATATAAAAATTAGAGAGATCAATTTATGTTTATTTTTAATTTAGTTGCAAATCGGACAATCAAAATCTATGTCTTCTTTGGTCAAACCAAGACATTCTTCATGAAACCATTTTCGGCAGAGTGGACACTGACGCATATCTTCACAACGTTCAGCATTACACGCGTGGCAGTACCATTTATCATTATCGTCATCTATTTCTTTGGTCTTTTTTGTTTTTTTTTTTAAGTCTATCTTTGGTTTTTTGCGTGATTTTTCATATCTTTGAGATTCGTGTTCTGTTTTCCTGCTTCTTTTCATTTCTTTTTTCTTTTCCTTTTCTTTGAATAAATCTTTTGTTATTATGCGACCCTTATAATTTATTGCCTTTCTTCGCCTTGGTTTATTTTTAATAACAACATAATTAGGTGTGGGTATCAATTGCTGGAATGAAGATGTTGTTGCAGAATTTGAAGGAACTCTCAAGTTTTCTAAAGGAATATTGTCTTCTGAATCTTCGTCGCTTGATACAAGGTGGTGGTCACGTCCTATTACGTCCACATGAGTACTTGAAATATTAATCTGTTTGATAGGAGTATGTTGTTCTATTGATCCTGGGTTTCTGTTCTCATCATCGGAAGAACTATATATATTAGTTATAGATTCGAAATTTGAGCGATGTATGTGTTGGGAAATCAATGCTTCGTCAAAAGAGGAATCAGACTCAGAACTATAAATTATTGGTCTGGTGATTGTAGTGTGGTAATTTTCAGGATCTGTATCAGTTGAGCTGTAGTTTACTATTTTCTTATTAAAGCGACTATATGCTTCTGGGATAGATGGTGGTGATAAAGGGCTAGGCCCAGTTGGTTGTAGCAAAGATGGTGAACATGGACTTCTGTTAAAATATGTCTGATCGGAGTCGGAACTGTCCGCTCTAGGACTATCAATTAATCGTAAATTTATATTGGAAGGACCAGGAGCAGGAGATATATCTACTGTGGATACATGTTCTTGCTCTGGTGGTCTTTCAGTCAGAACAGAGGGAGCATATGCTTCATTTGGTATTGCTTCTGGATTGTAGGGATAGAGCCCAGTAGCTCTGAATCCACTGACTATGTTTTCGTGAGTCATACAGCTTGACCATACTTTATTAAAAATTAAGTTAAATCGTGTTTTCGTTATTTTTTTGTCGGGGTACTGATACAAAAATGATAAAGTTTCTTGATCCCAGTAGTGTTCAAACGATTTGTTTACACTTTTATCCAATGGTTGAAGTTCATGCGTCGTATTAGATGGTAAACAGTATAAAACAATATCCTCCTCATCTGCTGCGTCAACAATATCATAGTCAAGGTGGCATGACGCACCGTCAAAAACTAATAGACACTTACCTTCCGGTTTAAATTTTCCTAGATGATGAATAAATTCTACGAATAATGACGAAGTCATACTTCCTTTGGGAGCCATTTTTACAAGTGCCCCTGAAGGTAAATTATCTCTGAATTCAGGCTTCAGCCTTTTACCCTTAAAGATTATCATTGGAGGTATAGGATTACCTAATGCATTCACACAAGCAGCCACTGTTACATTTTCGGCATGTTCAGGTGCAACCATATGAACTCTTCTTGATCCCTTTTTAGCCAAAACTGTTGGTTGTTTGTGTATGGTTAGTCTGCAACCTTTTTCGTCCATGTTAAATAAGCGCTGTGGATTTGCTCTGATATTTAGTTGCTCGTATATTTTTTTATATGCCTCAAAATGTTTTGTTACTATTGATTTATTCATTTTTTGAGCCCTGCCTGGGTTTAAAATCTGGACCTTGCGTTTTGTAATTTCAGGATGCCTTTTAAGAAATAATTTTAACCAATCTTTTCCAGCTCGTTTCTTATATTTATTAAATTTATTTGGTATGTTATTTTTTTCGCAAAAAAGAAATGCTTGATGACGTATGATTTTAGGCGTTAAGGGAAAACCTATGGATGCAAGTTTTTTTATCCTTAATGATAGATCATTTTCTTGCTCTGCGGTCAAAACTGTGCGACGTCCTATTTGCTTTTCTACTTTGCCCGTTTTGAGGTGGTTTATCAGCGTTCTTCTAGGAATACCATACGTCCTGGCTGCTTTACGTTGAGACATGACTCCTCCTGTAACAGCGTCCATGGCGCTTTTTAATTGTTCAAGTGTCCAACTTGCACGAGCAATAGGTTCCATAGCTGGTGTCCTAAAAAGATATGAAATTATTATAAAAAGGTGTCTCAGGTCCCTTACAGGAAACAAAAAGTCACAAATTCGGTTGGCAGTTTACAAGTGGTAAGTAAAAAGGCGTATAAATTGATGAACGGAGGATGAACAAAAAAAAAATGTATTCTCAAAATGTTCTTCATTTTTAGTAAATTTGATTTAAAACTTTTCTAATTTAATATGTTTATTTAATACATCAACTCAGAATAACGATCAAGGTAACATTGAAATGTCATTAAATTAGATTACAAGATTCATAAGTTTAATAAGAGCCGGCCCCTATTACCCGCCCAGAAAGTGGCTCTCGTTAGCCTCTTAGACTTGTTTCATAAAATTAAATGAAAAATGTACACAAAAAAGTAAAAAAATGGTAAACTTACCTTGATTTGTCCGTAATAATGATTTTGTTATAGTTCTTAATTAGAAATCACATGAAATTTAGATATTTTTAGCCTTAAAATTCCTAAACTACTTGTGAATTTTTTACTAATGAGTGGCGTAGTTCTACTCTTCGGACGTCGTCGTGGCTACTGACAAGATGGCGGATCGCGTGAAGTTGCGAGTGCGAATTTAAGCCTTCTGATTGGTCCTTCACATGTGTGCGTGAATGGGATCTAAATAAATTAATTAGAAATGTGTTTTTGTAGTATTGGACCTTGTTAGACAGCGGCCCTTCTTACCCGCAGGTACCTTAATAAGCTTTATTGTCACAAAAATTATACAGTTCCCAAGGGTTCACACTTATAATTTGACACAATTAAATGTATTGAGCTTTAGGTACTGATACTGTCTCCCAAACTAAGCGAAGGCTTGTATTTTGGGTGACAGTTTTCAGTCGTGTATTATAAATTAGAACTATCTATTACAACTTACAATTTTTGTGCGTGCAAGTGAACGTGGTCGCAGTATGCAAGGGGTAAATAAATTACAAGGGGTAATAATATTACATAAGTGGACCAATTGCTATTGAGTGGGTATGTGTATAGGTGAGTGTGTGTGTGTGTGTGTGTTAGTATGGGTGTTTGTATAAAAGTATGTGTGTGATTTTGTTTTTTTTTTCGTATATGAGTTATGTGCTTGTATATGATGATGTTTGTGTGTATGTTACACAATGTATGTCAGTAGTTGTTCAGTTTTGTTATAATCCATTTTTAGAAGCCAGTCTGTAAGAGTGGTTTTGAGTTTGTGGTTGTTTAGTCCTGCAATGTTGAGTTTCTTGTGTATCTCGTTGTACAATTTTATGCTTATGCTATTAAATTTCTTCTGGCAAAGGATGTTTTGCAGGGAATGCGTGGGCATAGAGACATCCCGCTGCGTCTACCTGGATCGGGACGTGGGACACTTCGATGTCTTCTCATGGTGGACTTGAGCACAAAGAGCTGTCGAACTGATAACACTTTGCAATCTGTGTATAATTTTTCGGTGGAGTATCTATAAGGCTGTTGACTTCTCTAATGCCTTTAATACCGTCAATCACGAAATCCTGTTATCTATCCTACCCCATCTTATGGTTCCTGCTGAGACACTGGAATGGTTCTCCACCTATCTTCAGGGGCGACAGCAATGTGTTCGTGTTGATGGCTTATCATCAAGTTGGTGCGACCTCCACGCTGGCGTCCCAAAAGGCGGAATTTTATCTCCTCTCTTATTCTCTATATTTATTAACCTCGTAACTCAACATCTTCAGTGTGCGTATCACCTGTATGCTGATGACCTGCAGCTGTACTCACAGACAAGGGTACAGACGTAACGCGGGCTATTGACGAGGTCAATCGGGACCTGGAGGTCATAGAATCCTTTTCGATGAGATTTGGACTGTTAATCCGACCAAATGTCAGGCAATCATAATAGGCAGCAAACGGATTATGAGCAGATTGGATACTGCCTCTATCCCACCGGTCGTCTACAATGGTTTAATTATTCCATTCAGCCCGGTAGTCAAAGACCTGGGCTTACTTGTCGATTCATTCCTCGATTGGCGAGCTCAAATTACTAGCGTGAGCCAGAAAGTAACTGGCAATTTGCGAACATTGTATCGGCTCAAGAATTTCCTACCTCCTAAAACTAAAATTACGCTCATGCAGTCCTTAATAATGCCAATAATTGACTATGGTGATGTGTGTTATTTCGACCTGAATGCAGATCTTCTAAATAAGCTTGACCGTCTTCTCAATAACTGCATTCGATACATCTTCAATCTTCGGAAGTATGACCATGTGTCTGCTTTGCGTTCCCAATTAAACTGGTTGCCTATTCGCCTCCGCCGCAAACAGCGCGCACAGCGCCGCGAACAGAAAGTAACTGGCAATTTGCGAACATTGTATCGGCTCAAGAATTTCCTACCTCCTAAAACTAAAATTACGCTCATGCAGTCCTTAATAATGCCAATAATTGACTATGGTGATGTGTGTTATTTCGACCTGAATGCAGATCTTCTAAATAAGCTTGACCGTCTTCTCAATAACTGCATTCGATACATCTTCAATCTTCGGAAGTATGACCATGTGTCTGCTTTGCGTTCCCAATTAAACTGGTTGCCTATTCGCCTCCGCCGCAAACAGCGCCCACTTACCTCTCTATTTGCATTTCTCAATTCACCGTCCTCACCTACTTACCTTGCTCCCTACTTACGTTACCTGTCTAGCAATCATGACAGAAATTTTCGCTCAGATAACAATCTGCTTCTCTTATGTCCCTCTCACAACTCCGACTTCGTGAACTCTTCGTTCTTTGTTCAAGCAGTACTACACTGGAATGCGCTCCCGCTCGAAATCAGGATGTCCACAAACCGCTTTACATTCAAAAAGAAGGTACATGCTCTCCTTCTTAAAGAAATGGCAGAACGGTCTAATCCATAGTTAAGTATACCTCATATTCAGGTTTTCATAGTGTACGAATAAGATATGTCTATGTATCTATATAAATATACTTGTACATATATGTATATGTATCTATGCGTATTTATGATGTGTAAGTGTAGTATGTGTGTATATGTTTATATATGTAGTGAATAAATAAATGAATGAATATATTTTCATTGTACATTTGATATTATGATGTAACCTCTGTGCACCTATCTTACAAGATTTCTACATCACCCAAAGGTTGACTGGAAGAGAATGCCCTGGGCATTAAGTCCGCCGATGTACAAAAGTGCATAAAGATAAATAAATAAATAAATAAGTTTTAGCTTTTCTAGTGGAACACAGTCTCTTAGTGATTTGAATATGTGTATTTGTCTCCTCACTCTGGAGGTGACTGTGTGTATCTGCTTGTCCCACCTCAGTCCACTATCAATTTACACTCCCAGGTACATAACATGTTCAGCTCGATCGATTTGTTGACATGTGCAGGCATTCTGGGAAAGGCAAGTATGGGCAGTGATTGAGAAGTTTTGTGGTGGGGAGTTAGTTTTCGTGATCGAAAAGGCAACATAATACGTTTTGTAGAGGTTTAACGTCAGCAAGTTGTCTGCAAGCCAGTTCATAATTTTGGATAAAGAATACTCAGCTATTTCCTTAACGGTGTTCCAGTCCGGTCCCCAGACAAAAATTGCCGTATCATCTGCATACGTAAAGATGTTAGTGTTTCGGAGGGAGATTTGGCAGAGATCATTTATATAGAGCTGGAAAAGTGTCGGACTTAATATACTCCCTTGTGGAACACCGTAGGACAGTGTAGCCTCATCACTATCCACATTACCTACTCTGACTTGTTGTTTCCTATTGGCTAGGTAGTCTTTGATAATGTTATATGCATTTCCTCGTATGCCTAACTTCTCCAATTTAGCTAGGAGGATGGGGACAGAGTTTTCTTTATCTTTCGGAGGGACATTTCTTACTTCAAAGCTAGATGATCGTGATTTTAATTGTAGATCTTGCATTTTTCTTTCTAAATTCTCCAAGCACTTCCGTTGTTCTAGCCTTTCTTTCTGCAGGCAGTCTAGACCAGATTTTATTTCCTCGTACTGCTTGTTAATAAAGGACATTGAGGCCACTATTTCGTCGTTTGATTCTTTAATTTTAAAGGTTTGTGTTTTCAGCTCTGAAATTTCGGTGGAGATTTTAGCAATAAGCGAGTTTTGTCTGGCACACATGTCTTTGAATTTACTATCAAGTTCTGATTTCCAACCATTCAACAACAGCGCCACTATTTTTTGCTTGAGATCGTGGTCTTCTTCTCCAGGCGATTGGGTATGGCGCGGGCGCTTGTTTCGGTTTATATTTACAAAGGAGGCGCGAAGTTGTAACGAATTCAAATCCGATTCTGACTGGGTATGGCCTATAGTAAATGTGATAGGTGTTTTAGGGGGTGTTCGTTGGAGCGACATTATAATCACCAACTGTGGCTCAGATTAATGTAGATGGTAATTAAAACTTAGTTTTAAAGGACACGCTAATAAAGGCCCTGGTACAAAATACATATAAAACTATATTAATATTTTGTTGCAAAAGCACACTAATAAATGCCCACTCCGAGACTTGAGCGTGGTTATGTCGTGTCCAAAAGGGCGTAAGTGCGCGGTATAGCACGGCTCATACGCGTTCGCCTCAAATTGTGTTTTAGAACTTGATATAATGGGTATGCAAACAAAAGTTTCCAATTCTTCCGAAAGCAAATCTGCTCAAATTGGCTATTTTAGAGTTGGTACAGCGATTATGTCTTTACTTACAGTTAGTGTGTAAGTTGTGCAGAAGATTTCGCACTAATTCCACCGTGTATTCTTCAGGTAAAACACTAAAAACTTTTTATATCACGGCGCGTAGTAAAAGCAACTTATCGATATGTCATTCGGTTGTTCACTCTCAATTTCTCTGGAAGTTTCCTCGTTAACCGTAATATTTCAGCGATTTCCTTAAATTCTTTCTATGTAATCAACGAGTGTTTTCCTCCGCGTAAAAAAATTACAACGCGTTTCCGATAAGCTACAGCCTAGAGTCAAGTCATTGATGAGTTATAACATAAGTTAAGCATATGTCGACGGTACCCATCAAAGATCAACCGCTTGTGCGCTTCGGGATCGAAGAAATAGGCTTGTTAATTATACCCTTGTTGAAAAAAAAACACCATTATATAGAATTTATATTTATAAAAATAAAAAACATTACCAATTTATTAATATTCTTATTGACCTAATAAACTGAGCTAATTTCTTGTGTTAAGAGAGTGTTTCGAACAGTACAGAATTTGAACCCACCACCGAACGATTTCAAGTCCTAAGTTTATCATAGTTAAAAACTGTTTTTTTTTCTGTTACAGCCTTCGGTCAGGCAATACTGCAATGCCTCGGCTGCATCCTTCCATTCCTCGAATATGATATGATAGATAACCTGCCGTATCTAGTGGCTTATTGCGTGGCGGTCTTCCCGGTGGCCCTTCACCAGGAGATCCTGCATCTGCTATGCTACTACATACTGCCGTTCACCATCAGTAAGTATTGCTTTATTTTTATTATATCCATTGAAAAAATTAGAAGGGCTACTAATTTTTTTTAGATTGGTATACCTAGATAGATGCACAAATTTATTTTTAAGCATTGGAAATCACTCACTCTCTTCCAGGTATACTCAAACGGACGCACGAATGGCGTAGTGGTTTAAGCGGTCACCTCGCCGCTTTTTACTGCGCTGAGTGTTGTGGGTTCGATCGCCACATGGGACAACAGTCTGTGATTCACAAATTGTTGTCCTGAGTCTGGGTGTTCTTTGTGTCCGTTTCATGAATGTTTGTAAAGTCCCCCGCGATAAAGGAAATATAACTAGTGTGGGAGTTGTCTTTAAAAAAAAAACCAGAAATCTCTAGCACATTATTTATTGTTTTCATAAGTTCTTTGTCTGTACCTACCTCCCAATTCTCGAGTAGACGGTTTAAGAACCTTTGCCGGAACGAGCGTTTTCATTTAAACTTTAGCCCGCTTAAGTTTGTTGAGTTGGTGTTAGGCTTAAACTTAACGCTTCGGAGCAGCTGGATCCTCTAGTAGACATGATGCTACTTGGAATTTAAATTAAAGGCATTTAGATTTAAGATTCGCAGTCGCTTGCACTGAGTGCAGACAAGGATTAGGAGGGTATTGCATCTACATGTCCCGGTTTGTGTTTAGATTCAATGGAGAGAAGCACAGTTTCTTCGCTTTGTGCGCATAGAACTGTATCAAGAAAAATAAAGTAAAACGTTCATTTTATCTTTATACATTATTTTATATCTAGGATATACAGACAAACAAACCTAGGTTTGCTGCTATTCTTACAACTTATAGATCTTCCGATACCATTATAGGATATTTTTGGCATAGGGGGCAAAAAAAGGGAGGGGGGCAAACGGAGCAGACGGGTCACCTGGTGGTATGTGACTACCGCCGCCCATGAAGGCCTGCAACACAAGAGGAATGAGGGAGGCTCATACATGCGCGGTCTTGGGTACTAGTTTTTTGAGTTTGCGTCAATTTGAAACGTTTTCAAAGTAGGCAAGAACCGGCTTGTTTTCTGGAAAAGAAAAGGTCTGACTTTATATTTATGTGTAGCTCGCAAATATGCTGGAATGGAAGAAGAGAGCCAGGCATCGCAGTCGGTGACGGCCATCATCATGATGGTCTTCCAGCACTCAAACAACCCAGGTAAGTTTAGTTTTATTTCATGATATTTAGATAAATTTATGAATCAGTATCTCAAAGAAAAGTGTAACATAGGTATAATCTGGGTTTTGGTATGAACTTGTGAACCCGTTTTCTCAGAGACCAGCTAGTACGGCAAATTACTAAACGGATGGCGTAGTAGTTAAAACTTCTTACTGCGCTGAGTGCTGTGGGTTCGATCCCAACATGGAAAACACTTTGTGTGATCAACAAAAGTTTTGTTCTTATTCTGGTTGTTCTTTGTGTCCGTTTCATAAATGTTTTTAAAGTCTCCTGCGACACAATATAAATCTCAATCTAGTGGGGAGTTATCTTTTAAAAGCAAAAAAAAATTCTCAAATTAAAGTCATACATTTAGGAATTCTTTAGAAGATTGTTTCAAACGGCCCAACAGTAGTGGGTAGGGAATCCAACTCGAATGTATTGTCAGTGAAACCACTTTGGTGGCTCATATTAATCTCTCATATCAATAGCCTCAGTTTATCGAACAGGTCTTGCATTTAATTTATTATTGCAACCTATTCAGTTGTATAAAAATGTTTAGGTGCGTTACTACATATCACTGTGAACAAAGATCTACCCTTTAGATGCTGTCTACGTCTTCACGAAGTCTTCTCAAGAAATAAAATATGCATGCTGATGAATTTGCTGTGTTTATTTACCCTAATGTACGTAACCACCCTATGACTTTGTGAACAATAAGTATGTATTTTTATGTGTGTGTGTTCTTGTCTGTGTTTTTTTCTAACAGCGTAGACCCGTTTGCAGTTACCAAACATATGGGTACTATATCTGTCTGTACTGTCTTTTTTGTACTTAAATAAATGTAATTCATTCACTCATTGCAAACTGCTATTTACGGAGCTAAAACATCGTCTTGATAAATGTTGTTAATTTCAGTTTCGGACAGTAATTATAATAATAGGTTGTTTTAATGATTAAGACAGGATAATAATCCTTCTGTCTTGAATAAGAAGTTCATTCGCTGCACGGATGGCGTAGTGGTTTAAGCGGTCGCCATGCCCCCCACAACCACACTTTTTTTGTTGTTCTGAGTCTGGGTGTTTTTTGTGTCCGTTTAACGTATGTTTATAAAGTCCCCTGCGACACAGGGTATATTCCTATATATTCCTAATGCGGGAGTTGTCTTTAAAAAAAATAATAATTCAGGATTTCATGTTTAGATAGACATCTTAACTTGGTTATCTTTGTTTTATTAGCCAGGGTGCAAGACTTCGGGCACGCCGTCATCGCGGCGGTAAGACCCGTTATGGAGGATTGGCTCGAGATGCGTCACGGGACCCTCTCATACCGACTGACGCAGGTGATCACTGGGAAAGGATGTTTCGGGGATCACCTGTGTCTGATCCGCAAGGAGCCAACGCCTGAGTGCCACCACTGCGATGGCCAGACCGTGGACACGGCTCTCCACACGCTGGCAGAGTGCCCGGCGTGGGTTGAGCAGAGGCGAGACCTCGTGGCGGCCATCGGAGTGGGAGTTCTCTCGCTCGAGCGAGAGTGCGTGGAACTCTGCCGTCTCCTTCTGCGAGCAAGTTATGCTCGCGAAGGAGACGGCGGAGCCTGACCGGGAGAGGTTCAGAACTCTACCGGCCCGCCAGGCCCGGTTCTGTGTGTAATTTATTTATGTGTGTTTTACAGCAGTCTGGTTACCAGAGCATAGGCTTTGTCGGTAATCGAATCAGATGGCCGTGCATGAGATGTGTCAAATTTTTATCATTATTATTTATTTGTCTTATCCGGGCATCGAACTATGAAACTTACGTTCGTACACCAACTTATGTTACGAAAGCATCTTTTCTAAGGTCTGATAAGTAATCCGACATTCTTATCTTCGTTGTGCTTTACGAATGTTCTAATAATAAGAGCTAGATTGAATATGTAGTTTATTACGTAACTATAAAGCTAGAGCCGATGAAACATTCGTGATTTTATGTCCCTTTCGCTCTTTACGTAATACCTATATGGATGCAATTTCGGTGGGCGACGGAAGGGTGACGTATGTTGAAGCGGGGCGCGCAACAGGGTAATTTAATATTTGCTTCCCGTTCCCTGTACCGCCAAGGTATTTAGAGTACCTAGATTTGTATTTATTGGGGTGTCTGTCGGATCAATATTGCATCGCAGCCCGGGCCGTTGCTATGGGGATGTCCTCCCCCTGCAACCCCCCTCTCAGACCTGTGCCTAGGATTTGAGCTCGCGGGCCCAGTGCAGCGGATGCCATTCGTCATTCATCGGAGAGCTATTACTTTATCAACACGCGCGCCGCATATCGGTGGAACATTAATTATTTTATGGTTTTCAATTTTAGTTATCATTGTTAAAGTGATTCAGTACAATGTTTTGATACTAGTGTTTGTATTCGCAATAAAAATAAGGTGAATTAAATTAGAAGAGCTGCTGTGAACCCGGAGATGTAGGTAAGTGTTTTTTTTTCAGGATGTCGTCTGAAGTAATTGGATCAAAGTTAAAAAAATATTTCTGCTTTATTTTAATTTCGGTAATTTTGCAGCTTATTTCAGACGAAATTCGTTTCTATTTATTTGATTTACTTATAATATTTTCAGCAGGCAAGAAGTATGCTGACGGAGGAGTTCTTTGTTTAAATTTTTTAGAAGTTGCCGATAACAATATATGTGAGCTTTTTTTCTCTCGTAACATAGGTTGGTCAGAAGGTTTCA